ACGATTCACTCAACTCACGATTCGATTCGATTCGATTCACGATTTTGATTTCACGATTCGATTTGGTTCATGATTTTTTTTTTTACAAAATGAGATTTAAGACATTATAAATTAAATGTATCCTTTTATTATTGATTTATTAATACACAACCATCCCACAAACTGACCCATATTAACTACTATTACACACATGATCAAACTCGAGCTGTTACTGTAGAAAGCAGAAGACACGCAGTCTGTCGCTACAGTATCAGGCTCTTAACGGAGTATCGATCCGTCAGGCGCCTCCTTACAAGCGCCGACACTCAGGAGATTTACAATGAAGTCATTCAGAGACAACAACTCTACACTCATCTGCATTAACATCTCAAATATGTCTAAAAACTTATAAAGAGGAGAGTTCCGGTGCTTGACTCTGATTGGCTGAGACACGTTCGAAGCTGTTGTAAATGACTCTACAAAGTAACATACATCTTTGTTTACGTTTGTCTGTTGCTCGGCAACCACTTTGTAGCAAACACAACTGTTTCTGAGGAGCTACATTGTTTGGTGGAAGAATACTGTTTTTATTAATATCATTACACTTTATTTGCTCTGTTTTATTTTGTGAAACCTTACTACGTATATGGAATAACCCGTGAAGCCGTGGTTTACAGTGAATTTATAACAGCTAAGTGGGTTTTAGGCACTCCGCGAACAACGCCCCTTAGCTGTTATAAAATCACTATTTATTAATTTATTAACATTAACGAAAATGAAGGATGCAATTGTTTGCAACCTGTATGACAAAGTTACACTCTTGAAATCACACCTGCATGGTACAAATAAGCGATAATAATGGAAAACTCATGCGAGTTTACACCTCCCGTCTGGTTTTTCATGTTATGCAAACGTGGCGTGGCACATGCATGAGCGACTCCTCTCAAAGTGTCTCATATTCACAGCGCGAGCTTCTCTCTGAAATACTGACGCGCGTGTGTCATGACAGCTGCATGTCGCTGCTCACTGTACAGCTCTCATGAAATCAATGACTTTAACAATGAACTCAACGACCAAAATAACTGCAAGAACTTCTGTGGTATAGTGTAAGACCTTTAATTGTAAATATACTTCACGCACTACTGCATATAATTGTAAAATTTAGATTTTGAGTATTAAAAGTGCTGATATGAGCAGATATAGTGCATGCAATATGTAATAGTAAAATGACTATAATTAATAAAAGTGCTCATTGTAGCAGATATACTGCATGTAATCTTTATTTTACCATTACCTATACTATTGCAATTATTCAAAGTGCTCATATGAGCAGATATACTACATGCAATACAATACGTAATGGTAAAATTACACTTAGAATGGTTAAAACTGCTCATCTAAGCATATATCCTACATGTAGCACTTCTATAATTATTATTTAACATCATAAAAGTGCTCTGATCTCAGCAGATTTACTACATGCAATACTATACATAATAAAATGAAGATTGTTTATTTTAATACTTTTTATTTTTTAACACTTTTAATACTCAATCTTCATCTCAGCAACAGGTGTAATACTTGCAATACTATATGCAATGCTAAAAATAGTACTTTAATAATGATTGTTATTTTATCATTAAATATAGTATTGCATGTAGTATTTCTGCTGATATGAACATTATGAGTATTAAAACAGCTCATCGGAGCACATATACTACAGGCCATACAATGGTAAAATGAATATTAAAATGACTAAAAGTGCTGATCTGAGCAGATATACTACATGCAATACTATATGGAATGGTAAAAAGAGGAGTTTTAATACTCAGTCTTCATCTCAGCAGAAATACTACATGCAATACTATATGTAATGGTAAAATTATCACTTTAATCACTATAAGTGTAATTTTATGATTACATATAGTATTGCAAGTATCTGCTCAGATGAGTACTTTTAATCATCATTTTACCATTACATATAGTACTGCATGTAGTATTTCCACTGAGATGAAGATTATGAGTATTTAAAGTTCTCATCCGAGCAGATATACTGCACGCAATACTATATGTAATGGTATAATAAGCACTTTTAATAATTACAATCATCATTTTACCACTACATATAGTGTTGCATGTAGCATTTCTGCTGATATGAGTACTATTAATACTCATAATCTTTATCTCAGCAATAATACTGCATGCAGTACTACATCCAATGACAAAATGATGATTAAAAGTGCTCATCGGAGCAGAAATACTACATGCAATACTATATGTAATGGTGAAATGATCACTTTTAATCATTATATGCGTCATTTTACGATTTCATATAGTATTGCAAGTACTATATCTGCTCAGATGAGTACTTTAAATCATCATTTTACTACTAAATATAGCACTGCATGTAGTATTTCTGCTGAGATGAAGATTATGAGTATTTAAAGTACTCATCCGAGCAGATATACTACACACAATACTGTATGCACTGGTGTACGATTACATGCAGTATTGCAAGTAGTATATCTGCTCAGATGAGTACTTTTAATACTCAAGCTTCACCTCAGCGGAAATACTACATGCAATACTACATACAACAGTAAAATGATGATTAAAATAATGAAAACTGCTCATCTCTGAGCAGATATACTACATGCAATACTCGTATGTAATGGTGCAATGATAACTTTTAATCATTATAAGCACCATTTTACGATTACATATAGTATTGCAAGTACTATATCTTTCTAAGATGAGTACTTTAAATCATCATTTTACCATTACAAAGTACTGCATGTAGTATTTCCGCTGAGATTATGAGTATTAAAAGTGCTCATATGAGCAGAAGCACTACACAAAATACTGTATGAAATGGTGAAATGAGCACTTTTAATAACTGTAATCTTCATCTGAGCAGATATACTTCATGCAATGTTATGTATAGTGTAAAAATGATGATTATAATTATTAAAAGTGACCATTTTGCCATTGCATATAGTATTGCATGTAGCATTTCAGCTCAGATGAAGATTATGAGTATTAAAAGTACTCATGAGCAGATGCACTACACACAATACTGTATGTAATGGTAAAATGAGTTACACTTATTAAAAATCGCACATATGAGCAGATATACTACTTACAACACTATATGTAATGGTGAAATGAGTACTTTTAATAATTTTAAGTGTCATTTTTCCATTACATGTAGTGTTGCATGTAGTATTTCCGCTGAGATGAAGATTGAGTATTAAAAATGCTCATACGAGCAGATGCACTACACGCAATACTGTATGTAATGGTGTAATGGAGTTCGCGGAGGGAAGTTGTAAGAAGTGTGTAGGACAACAACAGGTTGCAGCAGTTTGTCGCTGCTGTTTTCGGAGTTTGTGGTCGAGCAGACCGCGCTAAAGTTGCTGTCAGCGCGATGTTGCGCGATTTGATCGCGTCTAAATGCTGTTTTACGGTTGTTGTTGTGTTGTGGCCTTAATCTGTGTGTGTGTGAGTGTGTGTGCTGGAGTTTTAAAGCTCCTGCAGCACTAGCAGCTAGCAAGCTAAGCGTTCTCAGTCTAGACGCTCTCGCGTCAAACACACACACACACACACACACACACGCTCGCGCCTCTACCTGTCGTGCGCGGTGGAAGGGGTCCGTGAATCCCTCCTTCATCCCGGTCTGAGCCACCGAGGCCTGTCCCTGCACCAGCTCCGCCATCATCATCATCACACACACACAAGCGCATAAACACACACAGCGTACACTACCGACCCCGGAACAGGAAACGCGCGCAGGAGACTCGCGAGACCTCAGCGAGAGACGAGACTCTGCGAGATTTCACACACGTGGTTCTTACGGCGTTTCACTGCACTGTACTTAATTATTGATTTATTAGCTTATTCAATAAAGAGTTCACTTTATTACTTTTTAAACCTAATCTGACCTTACTTGGCAATTCTTTCATTAACAAGCATTTCAGTTTTAATTGATTAATTTTTTATTGTTTTTGGATTTTATTTCTTATGTAACTTTTTGCTTTGGTTATATTTATTATATTATTATATATTATAGTTATCATATATTCATACTATTTTTATGTAGAGCACAAGAAGTCTTTTATTTAATGTATTTCATTTTAATTAATTATATTAATTAATTTTATTCTTTTTAAAACTTTTTTATTTCTTACGTAATAATTACTAATCTTCAATAGTGGTTACTGTACAAATTACTCTCTTATTACTAATTACTTTCTAAATCCTATATCAACATCGACAAGTAAATGATTCAAGGATAGACCTGAAACGGTTCTTTTAATTCTTTCAGATTAATAATAATAGATAACTATATTTAATTACTTACTTTCTAAATCCTTTATCAACCTCAACAAGTTATTGATACAAGGATAGACATGAAACGGTTATTTTATTTCTTTCAAATAAATAATAGATAACTACATAAATTATTCTGGTCACACTTTATATTAGGGTCCAATTCTCACTATTAACCAACTGTTAACTATGACTTTTGCCTCAATATACTCCTAATTACTGCTTATTAATACTTAGTAAAGTAGTTGTTAAGTTCAGTGTTGGGGAAAGTTACTTTTAAAAGTAATGCGTTACAATGTTGCATTACTCCATAAAAAAGTAAATACTAACGTTACTTAGTTACTTTTTCTGGAAAGTGATGCGTTACGTTACTTTTGCGTTACTTTTTAAATCTGCACAGGGCTTGCTTGTTTGTTTTTAAAATAAAAAAGTTATATTTTTGGCAAATATAAAAGCCTTTTCTTTTAGTTTTTATTTATTTTCATTTAGTAAATTTAGTGCTTCAACATAAACTTATTTCAGATTGTTGCCAAGGTAGAATTCTCATTTTAAATTTTTTTTAATTAAATATTTATTTTATTTCAGCTTTATTTTAATGAACAAAAATATTTTAATAGTTTTAGTTTTAGTTAATGAAAAGTACCCTGGTTTGTTCATTGTGTTTGGCTGGTAAATCACACTTCTGCTTTTACAAAATTGTCGATTTACCATTTCTGCCTCTGTCATGTTAATATGTTTGCATACTGTTGGGCTTCTGTTCAGTTTTATGTTTGATTTTAAAGAAGTTTTGCTACTTTTGTACAGTAGATACCAGTGTTGGGGAAAGTTACTTTTAAAAGTAATGCGTTACAATGTTGCGTTACTCCATAAAAAAGTAACTACTAACGTTACTTAGTTACTTTTTCTGGAAAGTGATGCGCTACGTTACTTTTGCGTTACTTTTTTTACGTTCTTTTACGTTTTTAAAATACAAAAGTTCTATTTTTGGCAAATATAAAAGACTTTTCACACCAAACGTGAAATGAATAAGCCTCAGGCTGAAGGGAAAGTACAGTTACGTCCGTACAGTAGAACGCAGAAGAAGAAAACACTTCAGCAATAAAAAAAACACACACAAATGTTCATCTAGAGTAATTTGTGCTTATTAGTACGGTTGAACTGGATCATCGAAGCTCAGAAGCAAATAGAATGGGATTAAATACATAAAGCATATTTGTGTTGTTTAGCATTTAATTATTGCAGGTTTGCGTCATATTCTGAGTTGCATTATTTTTATTCATTTTGAGGAATACTGAATCTGTGTTTTATTTTGTTTGTGAGTGAGATGAATTAATGCATATTCATATTTATTTTAGAACTACAGTAACATCTTCTGATTTCTGTCACCATGGCGACACCAGAGCTGTCAATCAATAAATTGGGAAAAAAAAGTAACTTGCATTAATTATTTGAAAAAGTAACTCAGATATTCTCTTGTAAATTAAAAAGTAATGCGTTACTTTACTCGTTACTTGAAAAAAGTAATCTGATTACGTAACTCGCGTTACTTGTAATGAGTTACCCCCAAGCACTGGTTAAGTTTAAGAATTGGGTAGGATTAAGGATTTAGAATAAGGTCTTGCAGAATTAATATGTGCTTTTTAAGTAATAATCAACAGCCAATATCCCAGTAGTATTCATGCTAATAACCAACTAGTCAATAGTGAGAATTGGACATTTAAGTGTTACCAATATTCTTATTAACTCAGTTAAATTACAGTAACACTGCTTTTTCACTGGAGGAAGTGTTATTATGGATTATGCACTCTATGTATTTGAGTTAAAAGCGTCTTAATGCTGTATTAGTTTCAGCTTTTGTCTTCTCCAGATGTTAACTGATGGACTGGAGTGCTGTGGATTACTTGTGGATTATTGTGATGTTTTTATCAGCTGTTTGGACTCTCATTCTGACGGCACCCATTCACTGCAGAGCATCCATTGCTGACTGATGCAATGCTACATTTCTACAAACCTGATGAAGAAACAAACTCATCTGCATCTTAGGAGGCCTGAGGGTGAGCACATTTACAGTACACTTTAATTTTTGGATGAACTATTCCTTTAACTTAAGTCTTATTTTCTGACAGTCGTTCACCTGCAAGTCATTTCCAGCTGCATATGAGCAATAAAACAGTCTTCAAACCCATGCAGACTGCAAAATCATTTTCCTAGACGTGTTGACCGGTTCAAGAATAAACAGGCCCATTGAGATATTGGTTTTCATCCACCTGTTGACCTTAGTGATTATTAGTATTAGTATTTACTATTATTAGTATTTTTGGTGGAAACTATGGTTAGCATATACTATGTACACTGAACAAAATTATAAACGCAACACTTTTGTTTTTGCCCCCATTTTTCATGAGCTGAACTCAAAGATCTAAGACTTTTTCTATGTACACAAAAGGCCTATTTCTCTCAAATATCAACAACCTGATCAACTCTATGCGAAGGAGATGTGTTGCACTGCGTGAGGCAAATGGTGGTCACACCAGATACTGACTGGTTTTCGGACCCCCCAATACAGTAAAACTGCACATTTTAGAGTGGCCTTTTATTGTGGCCAGCCTAAGGCACACCTGTGCAATAATCATGCTGTCTAATCAGCATCTTGATATGCCACACCTGTGAGGTGGATGGATTATCTCGGCAAAGGAGAAGTGCTCACTAACACAGATTTAGACAGATTTGTGAACAATATTTGAGAGAAATAGGCCTTTTGTGTACATAGAAAAAGTCTTAGATCTTTGAGTTCAGCTCATGAAAAATGGGGGCAAAAACAAAAGTGTTGCGTTTATAATTTTGTTCAGTGTATATAGAAATAATTTCTAGTCTGCTATGATGGATTTCAGCTCATGCCAATTTGTAAATAAAGTTTATTTAGATGCATTTGCACATCATTGTATATCCGGCGGTATATCTTTCACATCTCACAAAGCATAATGGAGTTTGCAGATATTTTTATTTTTATTTCCTACAGAATGTGGAGATTGAATTGTAATGCACTGCAAAAAAAATAAATTTTGTCCCGTTTTCCAGTACAGACATCTAAACATTCTTAAAATATTTAGAATGACTTGAGCTATTAAGCCTCGTTTCCAAAATTAAGTGAGTTTTCACTTAAAACAAGAGCAAAAGTCTGCCAGTGAGGTCAGAATAAAACTGCTTTTCTGATTCCGTTGGCAGATTTGTGTTCTTGTTTGAAGCATAGACTCAAGACTGCATATCTAAGTAAATGCATGTTGATTTAAGTATGTTTGTTCTGGAAATCAAGACATCTTTTGCAGTGTGAAGCTTCTCTGAAACCAATTAAAGTAAATGAAAGTTTGGGAGCCTTTGCTCTCAGTTTTGCAGACACAGATGATCCGTTACACGGGCTTTTATCAGCGAGAGAGCGTCTGAGAACCACAGACCCTCTCAACGACTCAATCACACAGAGGCCCTGCGGTGAAAATGAGGGATGTTTTTGACCCCATCCTGCTGTCGGCCGTCCCTCGTCTCTCCTCTTTCTCTTTGTCCAGCACTTATTCTCCACCTGTGCTGTTTTCCTGGAGGTGTGCGGATGCATTGTGTTGGCTGTGAGGTAATAACAGGTAAATGCAGTTGTTTGTGCACTTTCTCCCAGCATGCTCTAACAGGGACAGACTTCTGGCGATTACAGCAAACGTGGATGAAAGCTTTTCCATTCTCAAACAAATGCACACAGCAGAGAAAAACCTGAGAGCTTCACACAAACGACGTTTACCATTCACTTACAGCACTTTATAGGAAATGCATCACAATAAAGAAGCTTAATTGTTAAATATACATCAAGATTACTGACCTCATGTCATCATGAAAGATTGTTTACATTTCTGCTAGAAACATCAGATTTACTAACATACTTTTTTTTAATTAAATTTTTTTTTATTATTAAATAATTATTACATTTTTGTCATCATGTGAATTATTTTGTGCCCGTCTTCTTGTCATTAAACACTCCTACGTTCACTATTATCTGGAAAAATAAAAAAAACAAGCCCAAATCATAGTTGTGTTATTTATGCATTAATGCTATTACATCACTTCGTAACAAATAAATAAATGCTATAAAATAATTGATGCCACTCTCTATATAAACAACAACTAAATCATATCAACTTGTGGAAAATGGGCATCCGATGACCCCTTTAAAGCCTGGCATATGAAATAATAGCCAGAAAAATGTTTTTAAATAGAACCTTTAGAAAAAATATATTTAAAAACGAATTTGCATATCAGGCTCTTATGGCTCATATAGTCTGATACAGTGAGAAAATGGAGGAAAAAACAGCTCAATTTTATTCAGAGACTCAAACTAAGCAAAAATATGAATGATGTGCTGATATGATGAAATTCTGCTGCTTGTGCTGTAAATCAATGAGATCGTTATAACAGTACAGCAGATACT